GTGACAGAGATACGGAGTGAGATGTTTGGAGGTTTATTGCTGTTTAAAATTGTTATAGAAACTGAAAGACAACTGTGCTGCTGGACACTTGTCTCAGAATTTGTAAAGCAGCTTGTTGTGGTAATACTTCTATAATAATATCTATTCTACTTTTCCAGTTCCATCCTTCATCATGCAGGTGGTTGCTGGAATGTCCAGAGGTCCCGACTGAGAGGGGCCCCAGGATGCTGGGCACAGTATGAGCATACACGCTTTGTTATGTTAAAGTCCACACAATAATTACATCCTCCTCTTGGTAAAGGGACCATTGAAGAGTAATACTGCGCATTTGCTATTGTCTCTCCTTCCTTTGATGCTTGGGCTGAGCTCTCATTAGGCCTAATTGGACATTTTCAACGTGGAGGATATACCTGTGTGCTCCCCTTGTCCAAAGGCTGCCTGGGGAAGGGCACACCTCCTTAGGGCAGACCTCCAAGGGCCAGCACCACCAGTGCACAGTGAACAGCCCCAGGAGTGGTAGCAGGGCTACAGCCAGGCTGTGTTGGGATTGAGACCTTAGCTGCAACAAGGCAGAGCACAGCAACACCTCAAGACTTCTCCCTTGCCTGGGCTGAAGCGGGGGAGGGTTGTCTTGTCTGAGCAGTTTATCCCAGTGGGTTTATTTCCTTTATTTTTTGTAAAGCAGTGTTACAGCTTTCAGTCTGGACTGTACTTCATCCATGGCAAGCAGACACCCTGTTAGGCTGGGCTTATTAATAACAAAACCAAACCAACCCCAATAACAAAACCAAACTCTTTTGCATATGCTGGGGTCTGCTTTAGTTGTTAAGAATCAGAATAACTAACGTCGAATTTAAGCTGGAGGCAACGCATGGCCAGACTTCTTACCCACCCAGTATATCTGTTAGATATCTCCTCTGTTGACATAAACCTCTGCCCATTTACTCTCTGAAATGAAAACCAAAACAAAACCCACTTGTGTCAGGCAATATTCAAAGGAATGTCGCGTCAGCAAAGTTTCAATGAAAGCAAGGAGCATTCAGATGCATAAAACTGTAATGTCTCCAGTCCCGGATAATTCTGTACCATATGGTCAGAGAGAAGCAGATGGGCCAGGTCACAGTGGGGGAAGAGAGGGAGAGACTCAGGATTGTTATCTGACCCAGTGGGCCAACACTAACAGACTGTCTCCAGTGACCAGGCTATTATTATCAGAAAGAGCTGATAAGAATGTGATCCTCACATTTATTTGCCCTCAGGTGGTTCTCACATGTGGCACCCCATCAAAATGACCTTTTTTTTTCTTTGCTAAAGTTTATTTTGGGGCTGGAACATTTGACTCACAAAGAAGCAGCGAACTGTGCTGCACTTGTCTTTTATTGATTTTAAAGGTAGGTTATTCCTATCTGTTTACTCACCTAAAGTTCAGAAAGTGGCTTGTCCAAACAAGATAAATTCAACAACAATAATGCAAAAAGATTTTTCTTTTTTAATTATTATTGCTATTACATGGCAGTGTAGACATTAGCCGAACAGCATGGTTTCTGTCAGGGAGATCCTGGGATGTCCAATATGATTGCAGCGGGAGTTTTCTATGTTACTGTGTTTTTCAGTTAGCTGCCCTGCATTAGTAATAAAAAAAGTTATCCAGACTATTAAATTGCAAGGTATAGATGCCTAAACATTACATGGGAAGAGTTTTGAGAGTATTATTATAAGAAAAAACAGATACAAAATCACATGAAAAATACTTGCATAGTGAAGTATTTCTGGAGACAGAAATCAGCTATTTCTGATTGTGGTTCAAAGATGCTAAGTATTCCATCAGATTTGTGGAATGGACTCATTAAAGATTTACCCATGAGTAGCCTTTCCTGTACTTTTATTTATTTTGTGGCTTTTCTTTTCAAGCACTGTATAGTCCCCAGCTGACGCCTGCCTGGAGGAGTAAGTACTACTGTTCTCAGGTTGCATCTAGGAGACCACCGCAGAGGAGAGCTCATCACCTGCCCACAGTGCAGATCTTCAGGCATCCTAGATCCTGTCAGCAGCCCCCAGATCATAAAGCTGTTCGTGATCCCACTGCTGAAAGAGGGATCTAGGCATGACCATGAGCGACTGATGCTCTTGCTAAAGTCAGGTCTCCCTGTACCTGCCACAGTGGGCTTTAGATGGTTCTGCAAGACATCCAGAATGCCCATGAAGTGTCATGAAGTGTCCAGCTCTCCTTTAGCAACTGGGCTGAAACCAAACTTGCTTTACCAGACCATTCAACAGCCATTAGAGCTTTTGGTGAGGAATTACCTTCTCTGCCTCCGATTGGTTACATGGAGGTGAAAAACACCCTGAACTCTTCCTGTCCTCTGAGACACTACTGAGAATGGCAGCGCACAGAGAGAAACTGGAACAGCAAAGGTACATTGCCCAAGCAAGTGCTCCCTAACCTGTTCCTTTTTGCCCTCTTATATGCCCTTACTAAAAATACGAGTGACTAAAGCATGTCCCCTGCCCACTTTCATCCGCCGGCCAGAGATGATGGGGAAAATTTGCCCTTTCCCATTTGGAGAAGCCAGTACTGGTCACTGGCAGCTGCCTGCAACACTCTTTTCATGGGGATGCAGGTAGGATTAGCCCATGTGTTGGCATTGCGGAGAGAAGAGTATCCCTCTTTCTGTCCCTCCATCCCAGATCTGCTCTTCTGTGCACCCAGAAACAGTTGTGCCCTAAGAATGACATAGTGTTTTTTAATAGCTGCAAAAGATAGTATTTCAAGTCTCTCTTTCTACACAAAATAAGAATGAACAAAATAATCATGTCACTGTTTGGTATCGCTAGCCAGCTGGAATGTTTACCAAGTTTATTTTGCCATTCAAGACTGAATGCTGGAGTTCCTTTTGGGGGAGTTATTTCATAGCTGTGACACTTGGATAAACAATAGGCAGAGATGGGGAAGCCAATTCTACAGTAATGATGGCATTTGCTCATTCCATACTAAGATATTTTGTAAAAGGAAGATTTTGCTGACCAGACATTGCTTCTGGACCTTAAGCACAACTAACTAGTTATTATGGCCTGCAAAAGCAGAAAACCTCTGTGTCTAGAATCGATAAACCTTATTAAAATGGCCATTTGGGACACTGTCACTCAAATTAAAACAAAGAGGTTTATTGCTGCCAAATGACATTACTAATGTTCACAGAACAGAACCTAGGTAGATCATTACCTCTTGCTGAGCTTGGAGCCTTCAGCTGACATTTATGTTCTATCCTCTCCTTGATACAACATCCCTGGAAACTCAACATTTGCATAGAACTGAAGAGATTTGACAGGGAGAGGGATGATTTTCTATGTGCCAAAAGTTCAATGATGGGTCTCTGGGGTCTCTCTCTATTACAGCAATGACTGCAGGTTGGAGATGTGCTGAGGGAAGGAGTGTGTGTCTGTATGCATGCATCTATGTATGGCAGGGGCAGTTGACAAGGGGTAATCAAGCCCTTCAAAGATAATTTTGTCCCTCTGGGATAGTCTATGCTGTTTAACAGTATTTAGGGCTGTGAGCTAGCTCTGGATTAGGGTCCCATGCAAACTATGAGTAAGCACATATTTTGCTGATAAATATATACAGTAATTATTCTTTGCAGACTTTATGGGCTAGAATTTAACTTTGCCACAAGTACCTTCCAGTGAGACAAGTATTCCTAAGCTGCAGGAGCATGTATGGAAAGCCCACCCCTCCTCTGTAGAGGTGTCAGAGCACATCTAAGAGGGAAAAGGAGAGATTTTTATTAGCTTTCCACTGGTAGACTTTTCCCTCTGCTGATAATTTGGTAAAGCTCCTACTGAAAATAAAGGCTATTAAAGGTAATTCAAACACTTCTGGGCTAAAAGATGTCCCCATAGGCCCTGTTTGAGCATGGGTTTGAGGATGTTACCTCTAGCTATGGCCCAGTGGAACTGGCACCCCTGCCATGGGAGACACATAACACCCACCTCAGCCATATTTCACCTTCTCAGATATATGCCTAGCTTTCTTATGCTTCTTGTCAAGATTTACAAGGTTATACGCACTGGCATATACGCACATCATAGTCTCAACAGGAAGCTATGGGAAGCCAAGCTCCAAACTCAACCTTATTTTCAGTTCAGTGGAATCTCATTTGACCTCATCTTTGCTTTCATGCTCTTCTGCCCCATCACTACATTAGTCCAGGCATTATATTTTATTTTCATTTAAACTACTATTAAAAATAATGTAAACCAGCTCTGGTTTGAATACCTGGCCAATTCAGCTTCAAGATATTCTTCTGAGCTGACAGTCTTTTCTTCCCTTTTCCTGTGCTTTACAAGGAAAAGCTTTCATTGGCTCAGACACAGAAATATTTCTGAAAGGCAGGCAGCTAGATTTCTGGGAAAGAGAATAATACATTGAGAAACTTCTTAGAGATGACGAAAAACTATATGTGGGGTCCAAAATTGTTCTCACTTAAGAGAACTCTTTTAATACAGAAACAAGAATGACAAAGGACAAATTAAACAGAAGAGAGAAAAAGGGCAGGAAAATGAATTCCATAAGTATTAAATATTTAGAGACAGAATATTGGTTACTTAGTTCAAGTGATTTTCCCCTGCTAACCTGGAATGCAATAGAAACAAAAATCAAAATTTAACTCTGTTCAATATACATTGTCCCAGCTTGATGCTTCAAAGTACCTTTCATTACAAGCCAAAAGAACAGCCCTCACTGATGCTTACCCGAATGTCTCAATTTCTGGATTAAGCTGTGCCATTGTTTTGAAGCATAGTTATGGTTTAGAGATCAATGGGACATAGACTATCCTAATCTACTATGAACAGCCTGTAGCGTCGAAGGGATACTCTGCACTAGAGAGCCATCTAAGTCTTCTAATTACTTCGGCTACTGATAGATTGGCTCTTACCCCCTTGAATTCCTTTGTCACAGAGGAGTTAAAATTCATGAGCGTCTATGCCGCTGAATACTTACTCCAGTGCTGCTATTTTCTGCGCCAAGCTAGCCATCACTGCAAAGAGTCGGAGGTCTGTCAGGCCATCTGTTACATAATAGTCAACAATCTCTAAAATCTGGGGAAACAAAGATGGAAAGAGCAAAGATGATGAAGGGTTTAAAAAGAACAGATTGCCGCCTTGCTTGGGGGGGGTGGGGGGGGGAGGAAAGGAGGCAAGGGGGAAGGGGAAAAGGATGGATAATAAGCCCTGATGGAAGCAGAGACAAGCCTGATTAGTACAACCAGCAAAACAACCCCCCAAATTATTAATCCTAGTCTCCAAGGAAGCTGACAGGGACACCAGGCTGCTGGGAGAAAAAAAATGCTGTGGGGCAGGAAAGCTGAAGGAGGATCTGAAAAATTACAGCTACAATTTAGGCACTGCCATACACAACTAGGCACTGGAGATTCTTTCAGAACACCCCTGAAACCACTATAAAAGCCCACGCCAGATCTTTCTGTCTCTTGGTATTATACAGCATGCTATGTGGTGTACCACAATAAAGTAAGAATAATTTTTTTTTCCTTTCACCCATGTCCTTTCCTCCTTGCCCCCCTCCCTTTGCAAAGGAAGTGTTTGCTAATATTTAAGGTATCAGAATAGTGAGGACTTGCAAGTAAGGCTCACCTATGTCAAATTTGTCTTGTCATACAACTACATTTTAAATAATACTAACAATAACTGGTACAAAATGCTCTTAGGAGATTTACTATCCATTTAACTGCCTTTGCAGCCATTGAAGTAGTACCAGAGGTACTATTAAAACTCTCTTATCATGAACTGACTTCTTGTCTGCTCTGTCCTGTCTTGCTCCAATTGCTAATGCTTGCAGAGCTTACACTACCAGCAACAAGCGTAATGTTGGTGTCATCTTGATTTTCTCAACACAGGGGAAGCTGCCAGCCTAAATGTCACATCTCATCACCAGTCTCCTTGGAGCTCCCTCCATTCAACATCACGGTCCAAATTTTACCCTCAGACTCTCTCAACATAAAAGACCATTGGGAATTGAAGGCCTTATGGCAATTTCAAGCACTTGTTTCTGCTTGAACAGCAATGTGAAACAACAATCAGACTTCTGGTTTTGGTTCTGTCAGCCCTCTGTTTTTCAGGGGCTGATTGCTGCTCACAAGACTTCTGTGGCCTCTCACAACATGCAAAAACATGACCTTAACTTCCGTAAAGTTCATATGCTTCAGAGCATCTCTTCAGACCAAATTGGAGTTGTACATGCTCTCTCGCTCTGGTGCTTCTCTTTATTACCCCTCCTGAGCTTTGCAAATCATTTTTAAACTATAGCAGAAAACACAATACATGGCTGTTGAGGAAGGGAGAGGAAACAGATGTTTTCTGAATATCCATATGCAAACAAGTAAAGATGTAGGGATAACTTTGCTGGTTAACTTTTCATGTGAGAGCAACCACTGCCAAAGCACACACATCATACTGTAAGTAATTGAAATCTGTGCTCATCCATTCGTTGTTGTTACTATAGGGAAAGGTGGTTCATTAACTGAGATCCAAGTGTATAGTGTAATGCATTCCTCTTCACTGTATTAATGGGTCACATAAGATAATGCTGACAGATGGAAAAGATGAGCTTTATAGGTCTGATAAAAATAAACAATAAATGCAGGAACTGCTGAACTGGATTATCGTATTGCAAGATGAGTTGTGTAACGATGTTAGCACTGGCGCCTGCTGTAGAGCTGATGCTTTAGAATACTAACATCAAGCCACTTGATACGTGTTTGATGTCTAAACAAGTCACATCCTTTGCAGAGAGGAACAAATTATGATGGAGACTGGCTGCGGGGGTCCAAGTTTCAGATAAAAATCCACTCAGATGAATTCCATGCAAAATAATTGCCCAAAGGACTTTTTCGTTTTGTTTTGTTTAATCATATGAAATACGTGGATAGAGCCTTTTTTCTTTCTTTCTTTTTTTTTTTTTCTCTAGCATCCAAATAATTTGGTCCCTGCTCTAGTGCTAAAGCCTTGTCTAACATTTCGTGCTGGGAATGCAAAGCAGGGCACCACGTACAGTAGTACAAATAACACTTTATTTACAGTTTCATGGCTTTCAGATTTCCTGTCTCCATAATCACTTCCTACTAATTTCCTTCTGTTTTGTTTGAAATGGTGGTCTTTTCAAAGAAAGTGCCCAAAGAAACAACGCCTTTGTAAGGTTTGGATTAAATCACGGAGGTTTTTTACTTCTTTTTCTGTATTTCCTAGTACCGGTTTTCTGTATTAACAGAGTTCATGCTGTATGTCTGGATGGTTCAAACAGGATCATGATAAGAGGACTGCAAAAAGCCAGCAGTGAAGGGCCAAAGTCTCAGCTGGAGGAAGCTGGCAAAGTTCCACTGATGAACATCAGCTACAAAGCAGAATCATTTGAAGAGCCAAATGTTTTACTGGTGGACATGAAAATCTTTCAAGCACTACCCTGAAACTTACAAAAAAATAGCTAATACTGAAGCATGTACAAAACATTTAAAAATAATGAAATTTCTGTGTTGGAGGAAGTAAATAAAAAAAAGTAATGCAGAAATGGAGTTGTTATACAGGGAGACTAGCTTGGCCTGAAATTAAATACCCAGAGTATCTGACATATTTTCATCCTGTTTAGTGATTTCAGATGCCTAATTAGTAACATCTTTTATAGCTATATTTATGCTCCTCTACATTAAGCCAAGTTGGCTGACCAAAACAGGACAGATCCCAAATGTTATGCCACTTCTCAAATTGTAGCTACCAATTGAAAAAAGAAACAAACATTTTTGCAAAGACACAACATTAGGTAGCATGAGTAGACTACACCCTTCATGCTGTCTCTTGGTCCTGTCACAAACTATTTGGTCAAAACTGGCTGTATAAGAACCAAGGCAAAACCCCCATTTCCACTGCTGTCCTGTGGCCTTCTCCGTCTTTTGAGCTTTGATTTCTCCACAGGCCTTTCAGACTTTTCACACTAGTGTTACTTCCAAAAGTGGATAAAAATAAAGTTGTGTTATTTCATTTATTAGTTGGGTTATGCGTGGAATCGTCTAATATAAATATCTCATGTGTGCCAGTGCTGCTGCTGGTCAGGTTGCTTTCAGTTATTTAAGAAATCTTTGACCAATCAAATATCACAAATAAATGATGAAGCTATGATTGCTGGAAATGTTTGCCACCCCTTCTCACACCCTTCCAGGAATGGATCTGCTGGCTTTACTTACGCTGTAAGTCAGTGCTTCTGAAAGAGCAGCTTCTTTCCAGGCCATCAGAACTTGCCAGTGGTTCAAGTATCCATCTTCATCAGTATCAGGACACTCACAATATCAGTTTACACAGAATTAGCCAGTTGCCTCTGGGTAGAACTCCAGTGCCTCAGAAGTGCGACTTTGACAATATGTAGTTACGTTCTGCTTTCATATTTCAAACTGAGGGCAACCCTCAAAACCTCTCTCTCTTTCCCTTCACTGAGCACAAAACCACAGTAGTTTAGCCATTTTTGGGACCACACCACCTTTTTAGCCAATTAGACATTTCCAAATATGTAATACAACAGAGTAGCAGCAGATGAATAACTTTGAAAATTCAAAAATCATGTGAATATAAAGAACTGCTGAAAGAAAGGAGGGAGTTAACATCTGTCTGTGATCTGCCATTATACTGAGCTAACATATATTGTAAACACTACAGTATTTCTACAGAGACATTAATGTTCATTAAGTTTCTCAGTGAGATAATGCATCAGATATGTCTACGTACTACACAGCCTAAATGGTTTTATAATCTTCTGGAGAACACTTGTAGACAGAGAAAAAAAAATTCAAACAAGCAAGAATTGATGTGGTTTTCAGCCTCTTCTACCTAAACCATCCTTTTTGACTTCAAAGCCATTCACATATAAGACTCTTACCTTTTTATTTTTTTTCGGTTTTGTCACTTCAGATGTCTCTCATAGTACACTCTCTCCAACCAACAGGTCAGAGAGGCCTCCTGTGCATCTCCTGATGTTTTTCTTATCTAACACTCTTCTCTTTTCTTCCCACAGCCTAAACAGACTTCTGCAGTCTTCAGAAAGTGCAATTCCTGCCTCCTCAACAAAATTTTCAAAGTCCTCTCTAAATCTAATGGGCATGGCCACAGTGCCTAGCAGACGAAGAAACTGTGCGGCTCCCTGGTATCTGATAGTCTAGAATAACTCAGGGCATCCTGAAATAAACAGCATAACTCCTGTCATAAGCTTCAGTGCTTACGTGCCTTGTTATAAGGAACACCCAGCTTTTGACTGGAAAATAAATTACAACAATCTATAGCACTTTCCTAGATTCAAAAGATCTAAGTCACACAGGAGATGATGGTCATGTCTGCTTCATGAACTGGAGGAGAGTGCAGAGGTCCCAGAGCTCACGGAGACCTGAACTGCTATAACCACGTGTTCCAGTGTGCCATAGCCTACTCCAACCAGCATGGGCCTGAGACTAACTTATCCACTGTCAGGACAGTGCTGCTCTTGAAACCACACACCTAATCCCCAACAGGACACAGTAGGCTGTGCACTTTTTAACACTAGACCAGGTTGCTCAAAGCCCCATCCAACCTGGCCTTGAACAGTGCCAGGGGTGGGGTAGGCACAGCTTCTCTGGGCAACCTGTGCCAGTGCCTCACCACCTTCACAGGGTAGAACTTCTTCCTAATATCTAATCTAAATCTACATCATTGAGTCAAAAGACATCACCCCTTGTCCTGTCCCTTCATGTCCTTGTAAAAAGTCCCTCTCCATTTTTCTTGTAGCTCCCCTTTATGTACAGGAAAGCTGCTCTAAGGTCTCCCTGGAACCTTCTCCAGGCTGAACAATCTCAGCTCTCAGCCTGTCTTCATAAGAGAGGTGCTCCAGCCCCCTGGGCATCCCCATGGCCCTCCTCTGGACTCAAACAAACAGTTCCACGTTCTTGCTTCTTATAAGATTGATATAAAACATTCCCTCTTCAGATTAAACACTCCACATAGGACATGTTTTAGTGTTTTAAGATTGTGAGGTTTCCTATCATTCGTGCTCACTCCTCTGCTTACTAGTT